AACCTGCTTCACAGTTTCTGTGCCAGAAATGGCCTGAAAACATTCAAAGTGGCTTGGGAAAAATGGAAGGGGTTGTTGGCCAATAATTTAGGATGGGAATGAACCTGTCTCCATGGGGCCTGCATGGATAAAGAATGTCTCAGCAGGTGCCCGCATGAGGGTGAGAGTGTCTTGAAGTAAACAATTGGCTCACCCTTTCTCCAGTCCAATCTAATGTCTTACACTACTTAAGTTCCACAGAGCTTTAGGATGTGCAGAATTAAAATCCTTAGTCAACTGAGATGTAGTTTTCACAACCACAACCCATTGGGAGGTCAAAAATAGAAATCAACTTGAATTTTGGAAAAAGAAAGTCATGATTCATGAATGTTTGAATCTGTGGAGTTAGAGCTGTATACTAGCCCTGGTAAAGTATGAATTTATTAAAAGAACTCAGGAAAATTTCATGGAAACAAAGTTCAGGAAGTACACCTGGACTTCAAGAACAAGACAGGTAGCTGTAGAACCAGTACATAGCTAATGTCTTCTGCTCTGTCTCTTACAATTAATTTTTCTCTGGGGCCTGGTACCAGTGTCCGCTCAGTAAAGTCTGAGACTGTGGCAAGGGTGTTTCTCTGCTGATACATGATCTTTGTTCCTCCATAATTTGGGTGGAAAGGGTTTTTAGCTAGAATACGAGATGTCATTGTGAAGGTGTTATCTCCATTAACTTACTGGCCCTATGACTGCTGCCAAAGCACTACTCTGTTTATGCTTCTTGGTGGAAAATTTTGAAAAGAATCAGAATCATTTTTGACATTCTTGTTCCCAGGGTCATGTTCCTTAGGCCAGGAATCCACCTGGCCCAATCATGTGGAGTCAGCAGGTAAGGGGTTATGAAAATCTGACATGGCTGCTTATGTCAGTTCCACCATCAACAGGGTATAATTTGGAAAGTTCCTGAGAGTTTTGAGCTCAGAGGTTAAACTGAGTTCTAATTCAAATTTATTAAAATTACTTATGTACATGTCTTATCATAGTCTGTAAATCACAACTTCCTTGAAAGCAGGGCCTCTAATTGAATGCCTCAAGTTAGTATTTCAGCATCTTCTGGTCATAGGACAATACAGTTAGGTAAGGCTCTAATTGATCTTTCCTTGAAAGCAAGGGTTCTAATTGTTTGCACCATAACATCTTTCATGTGCCTTTGGTATTTGGAAGAGTTTAATGAATATTCGTTGAATTAATGCATATTTGTTCTGTGCCTTCTATACCTTTATTTCTGAGTGAACAGTATTTAGGCCAATATTTGAATAGAGGAACTCCTGTCACTGGTGCCGGTCAAAATGACTAAAGTGTAACCTTTATGTTGATGGATTTCTTGCCCAGATAATAGAGACTACATTTAATCTTGGAAGTATTTAAGTGATAAATTGGAGTAAGTGGTACTCTACAGGAAGATAATTCCTAGTCTTATCTTTTTGACTGTTTGAATGATTTTGCTAAATTAAAGGTCCAAGTTTATTAGCAATCACAGACTTGGCTTATGTAAAGAAATATAAACATTTCCAGTTTCTTTGTGTGTTAATTAAAAAGAGCTTTATTTAAATGGTAGAGCTGTCTCCAAACCAATGACTAGAACATAAAATGTTGAGCTTGAAGGAAGTTTATAGATCTTTTAATCTCCCTTTTATTTTATAAAGAAGGAAACCGAAGGAAGCAGATGCAGCATATGTGACTTATTATACATCTAATACCAGACCTACAGCTTTCATCCACCTGGTCTAGGGTTTTGCAGTCTCAGGAAAATCAGCACTAGTAATGACAGAGATTACTAATATGGATAGCATGAGTAGTTTTTAGCAGTGTACACAGGTAGGTTGATGGTAAGTGCTTTATCTTAAAGGAAAGATAAAAGATGGCTCATTCTCAGGAGTGTGTGTCTAGTCAGGGTGCTTACAGGCTGGCAGAGGGCCTGGTTGGGCTGCCAGGTATAATGGTGCCCCAGTGAATCTTACCACAAGCCATGCACCATGTTCAATACTTAATTCTCATGAGTTTGATAAACCACACAACATACCTTATGGGATCAGCATGATTGTCTTCATTTTATAGACAGAGACAATTGGGGCACTTAAGCGATTTGTCCAAGGTCTCATACCATTGTCACTTACTACTGTTTGAGCTAGGATTTTCACTAGGTCTTTCAAGAGACGAAGCTCATGACAGCCAGAGATGACATTTCAGTAGAGGCCACCTTGTGAGACCTCGGTGACAGTATAAGCCTCTTTGGGAATCTTGTTCTGTGTTTTCTGTGCTTTTAGATTTATGTAAATACCAGAGCTTTCCAGGAGAAATTTTTTATGCCTGGGTTAGCATGAGCTGAGCTAGCCTCTCAGCCCTTGGCAAACCTTATCACAAGCTGCATCTCCTATACACTTTGGTAGGACAGAGTCAGCCTGAGGTAAGGCCAAATTCTGTGCTTATCAACTTACATTCTAAATGTAAACTTTAGATTGCTAAAGCTGGAAGGAGTGGAGAGATGTGGTGTGATCACATTTTAAGAAGGCAGAAACAGAGGTCTAGGTTGTGTTTGGTTTAAGTTAAGTTGTAAATGGTGAGAACCATAGTGGCTAAGAGTAGCAGGTTTCAGATACACCTGGAATGCAAAGCCAGGGGCCAGGTTCTTAACTATGACACTGTGGATTCTAGAGCAGAATTTCCTACTAACTCCAATCTTATTAGGTTTTGTGACTGAGTATGCAGAAGAAAGACCCCCAGATACATTAATGACCAGGTTCCTGGCTGTGGGCAAGTAGACCTCAAACCTCTATGAGACCTATTAGAGCTCACTTTGGAGTTGTCCTGGCTCAGGGAGAAGAAGCCTGGATATTTATCCACCGACTTTCTTCCATCAGCTGCTCCTGTGGCCATTCACTCCTTATCTGTCTTGAACATACATGGGTCAAGCATGTCCTATACCCATGCAGAGAGTGCCATTGCTTGAAGGAAAAAGTCAACAGCATGTTAGTGCCTTGCAGATCTGAAGATAGTCTGTGTAGTTGACAGTCATGTTAAAGTTTGTCATTGGCCATAAAGTTTACCTGCTTCTCATCTCAGGGCTGGCAAATATATGGCCTGCTGAACACAAACCAGAGTTAGATATAAATCGCTCTTGGATTAAAGTTGAGAGGATTCTTTTGCAGGTATGGAAGCCAGATGGTTCTAGTTTAGGTTAAAATGAGACTTCACTGAGCACATAAGCAAACCCTAGCAAAGATTAGGACTCAGCAGGTCTCAGAGATGAATGGAGATAACAGATTCAGGCCTATGCTGCAAACCTTCTCTATGTCTGCTCTCTTTTTATTGTACAATAGCTTCTTTGAAAAGGCAGAGGGCTTGGCAATTTAGAGTTCTCCTGCTTCCCCTCCAGAGAGGAGCAGACCTTTTTCCATTGGAACTTTCCTGAGAGTTTACACAGAGGATGACTGGGCCTGAAAGTGGCTGGAAAGGTCATGAAAGCAACCCACTCCCATTTCCCACATACAGTGGGGACAGTAAGTAAAGAGCCCTTCGCCTAATCAAGGGGGGTGATGTTCCCAGGAGAATGGACAGGAGAATGGAGGGTGACTGGGTAGACAAAACACATCTCAGAAGTACAACAGTGGCCTCCCAGATGATCCACTGAAGAAAAGGTCAATTCTCTGCTTAAAAAGTACTTTATTGTAGAACTAAAAAGGGAAATGAAGTCATAAATTTTATTAGAAACAAAATACCATTAGCTTTGACTGTCTTGGCAGCATATGAATTGCCATTTTAACTAACACCAGTGTCACAGAGGAAACGCTGGGCTAGGAAAGCTGGTTTTAGAAGGTCCTGGGCTCCTCTTGTCAAACTATCTCTTCAGGTCCGACTTAAGTCATTTTTTACCTGACCTAGGTAGGTTTCTCCTCTTGATGATCTGTGATCATGACTGCCACTACACATTGACTCTTGGGCCTTGATTAATTTTTCTGATAAGTAGTTGCTCCAAACATGTAATGATCTAATTTAGGGACTGTTCTTTGAAAGAAACAAAACAAAACCTTTCTTGAGAAAGAATGATTAGGCAGCCTTCTCTCCTCCCATTTGCTTTCATTCAACACATATTTACAAATGTCTCTGCACCAGGCATACATTGGTAATAGATAAAGAGAAAAGCAACCCCTCCCTCCGGAAGCGCACCTTGACATTTGAATCAAGGCCAGGCTAGGATTCTTACCTCCAGCAGGAATCTTTTCCCTCCTACCAACTCCTCCAGCCACCCTCCCTATCCTCCATTTGTCACTTTTCTCTGTCTGTAAGACTGAACAACAGTTACTCCATCTTTGTAATAGGGCCTCAACTTTCTGCTTCTGTTACGGATCATCAGGTAGACATCGAGTTCCAGGGATGTGCTTGTTGTTGTGCCAGGAAGGTCTGTTGTGTGCGTAGTGTTCTGTCATGCTTGCCCACCTCCATATCTCAATATGTTATCTTAAGGACAATCTGTAAAAGATCTGTTTTATCTCTCTCCTCCGCTTTTGTATTTCTGCTTGCCAACTTCCCCTGAGACCCCCCTATAAAAACAGCTTGGGACTCTGAGCCAGTTGCCTCTCTAAGCTACTTTGCTTTGGGAGTGCTGTCTGGCCAGACTAATAAAGGTCTGTTTTACTTTCCAACTTGTCCGGTGTGTTCCTTCCCGGGTGTTCTTCGCTGCAGTCAGCTCCTCGGAGCCTTTGGTAAGGCCCTCGGTCTTACATGTCTCCCTCTCTCTGACACTCCCCGGGTGTGCTTCACTGCAGTCAGCTCCTCGGAGCCTTTGGTAAGGCCCTCGGTCTTACATGTCTCCCTCTCTCTGACAGACACACACACACACACACACACACTCCATTACAGATATGCAGCCGGGAGTCAGGAACTGTTTGCCCTTTTGGGGCTGCGCCCAAGCCCCCACACAAGCCACGTTTAATTTCATCTTGGGGGTGGGGTGGGGTGGAGGGGGAGGCCGGCCCCCGGGGATCCAGCGCTGATGGGGAGCAACAGCTGCAGGTTGCAGCAGTCTCTCCCCGCCCAGGTCCGGCCCCCGTGATGTTGGGGGCGGCGCCCCTCGCCAGGCTTCGGGTCCCAGGCGGGGGGCGGGAAGGCGCCGGCGCAGGCAGGCAGCTCTGCCATCGTCCGGGAGCGAGCGCAGGTCACCGTGGCGGGATGCAGGTGCTCTGGGCCCGCCACCTTGTTCTGCTCGCCGCATGCCTGCGGCTCTGCGGGGCGCTGGGAGGTACGCGCCCCAACTTCCCTTTCCCGCCCCTTCCCCAACCTGCTGCGCGCATAGAGCCCTCGGAAGACGGTGGGGGAGCGGGGAGGGAAACGCGGGAAGCTTGCTCCTGGGCTCCGCGGACCCTGGGACGCGCTGCGTGGGCCTGGATCCTCTGCGACCTCGACTTTGACTCCTAGGCCTGGCATTCCGGAGCTGGGCGGCCAGGGGAGGAGACTGCTTAGCCTTGCGCAGTGGCTTCGGGGGCCCGTAGCAGAGAACTTCCAGCTGCCCGGCCCGCGCGGCCGGGCCCTGGGTCCCAGGCCAGTTCCTAGGGAGCCAAGTCCGGGCCTGTTCTCACCTCTGCTAGGTCAGCGGAGGACTTGGAGTGTTAAGCGGGCCTCCTGGTTGCACTTCGACTTGGAAGAGGGATCTCTTCCGTCTTCCTTGCTGGTCGTTTTAGATCTACCCCAATTTAGCCTTGATTAGAGTTACTCAGCTGCATGTGATCCTCACGTTTTTGGGGCCTTAAATTCATTGCTGAAATTCTTTGGTCACAGGCTGATTGTCCCCTGAGTCCCTCCGCAAAGAAGCTAAATATTTCTGTACTCAATAAGGTAGAAGTGCTTTACATTTCTAGTGCTTTTCAGACTAAAGATTACAAATGAGAAATATTTAGACTTTTTAACATGATTAAGCGTCTGTATTTGGGCCTTCCTGCCCTCCATGACTCTGAAATTGAATTCATAAATGAAATTGAACACACACACACACACACACACACACACACACACACACAGAGAGAGAGAGAGAGAGAGAGAAAGAGAGAAAAAGAGAGAGAACACATTCTAAATGAAAGGTCTTATATCTCTGTACTATTTAGACTAAGTTTTGAAGACTTATTTATTTCATTTTAGGCATAGCCAAATAGTGTCATTGCTACCTTCTACTGCTTGATGGTTTCATTGCTTTAAGAGGGTCGTTCCAGCGATGCCCCCACACAATAGAAGACTTCTGACTCTTCTCTTGTTGAGGTGTGGAGGGGGCCAGTTCTGTTCCCATCTTTGCTCCTTCATCTTCTTCCTGGGTCTTTCTCTACTCTCCATAACATATCCTTTAACTTATGTGTTCACCCTTAGCTCTGACTGAATGGCAAATATTGTATATGAAAGTTTTAATGAAAATTTTACTTTGGGTGCTTGGGGAATATTTTCTTGAGCAGCCAGCCAGTGTGTGATCTGACTTTAGTTTTCTTTCTTTATCTTCTTGAGGGATTCAGAGTGTTCCCTTGCAGAATCTAATTACCTAAGGCTTACATGAACTTTGCACTCAGGCCTTGAAGGACACAGGATGATGTAACCTCAGTTTGGCAAGTCTTACACTGAACTACCTTTGTCTAGGAAAAAAGACACAATCTCAGTAAAAATATTTTTATCATGCATTATAGTATATTTCTGTTTGTAAATCAGTACTACTGTCGCTAGCCACTTTCTCAAGGTACTGCACACAGAGCACTAGATCTACATTATCAAAGCATGATAATTTATAATTTGACTATTTTCTTGTCAGATTTCATTAGTATATTACTTCTTTTGCCTTGTACAAGGGTGAAGGGCTTGCCCATAAAAAGGTATGCCAGCACCCCTCATTCCTTTGCACTACTGTTCTTTACGTTATTTGTATGTATATTTACCAATAGTTTGTTTGCAGTACCTTGTACTGTTTAAAGTACCTTATGTTAGTCTATTTGCCATAATAAAATACCTAGGGCTGGGTATTATTTAAAGAAAAGTTTATTTTGTTCATGGTTTTGGAGACTGAAAGTCCAAACAGCACAGTCCTGGCTTTGGTGAGGGCTTCATGACAGTTGGCATCACAGCAGGAGCTTGTGGGGAGAGTGAGCAATCACATTGTGAGAGAGTAAACCAGAGAGACTGGGGAGGGCCTGAACTTGTTCTTTTATAACAATTCTTTATCCAAAGAACTAACCAGGCCCCCCAGAGAAGTACCTTAATCTCTTCTAGGGGCAGTACCCTAAACCAGGGGTTCCCACTCCAGGCCACAGACCTATATGGATTAGTAACCTGTTAGGAACCAGGCCACACAGCAGGAGATGAGTTGTGGGGAGCAAATGAAGCTCTGTCCGTATTTGCAGCTGTTCTCCATCACTCCTGTTACTGCCTGCACTCTACTTCCTATCAGATGGTGGGGGCATTAGATTCTCACAGGAGCATGAAGTCTGCTGTGAACTGCACATTCAAGGGATCTAAATTGTGTGTTCCTTATGAGAATCTGATCCTGAATCCATCCCATGACCCCCATCTATGGAAAAATTGTCTTCCATGGAATTGGTCCCCAGTGCCAAAAAGGTTGGGAACTGCTGCCCTAAACAGTCTAATCATCTCCCGTTAGACCCTACCACTTAAAGACCCTATTACCTCTTAACATTGCCGCACTGGGAACCAAGCTCCCAACAAACGAACCCTTGGGGGACAAACCACATCTAGACCATAACACACCTTATTCCATTGGTGAGAACTTGCTTAATTACAGTGAGATAATATAGTTGGGCCAGCACATCTGCATGTGGTGTGCCATTGAATTGGGGTGGAGGAAGAGAACCAAAACCAACCTTCTTCCTCTAGCTTTGGAAGACTGAGCAGGTGGTACACGTGCACATGCCAATCAAGACAGATGCCAATTGATCTGTAAATTAAAGACCAAAAAAAGTCAAATTCTCATTGTTTTTTTTGGTTGTTGTTAAATTCTTTTATTGGTACATTTTAGGTATACAACACAATTACATTTC